TTGAATTGCCCCCTTTACCATTATATAATGACCATCTTTGTCTTTCTTTACTTTTGATTTATAGTCAATTTTGTCTGATACGAGAATGGCTATACCTGTTCTCTTTTTGTTTCCATTTGCATGGAATATTTTTTTCCATCCTTTCACTTTGAACCTATTTTGCATCCCTGTGATTTAGATGAAGTCTCCTGAAGGAAGCAGATACTTGAGCTGTATTTTTTCATCCATTCAGCCAGACTATATTTTTGAGTGGCACATTTAAACCGTTAATTTTAAGAGATATAATTGATATGTGTGATGCTGTTCCATCCATCATATTGGGTAGTACCTCATTGCTTTGTTCATTTTTTTGTGCTATTGTTTTATAGGTGTTGGGAGCTTTAGCTATGCTGGATAATTTTACACTGGTGGATATCTATTGTGCTGATTCGTGTATAATGCAATTCTGAATATTTCCTGTAGGGCAGATCTGGTCATGACAAATTCTCTCAGTGTTTGTTTGTCTGGAAAATACTTAATTTCTCCATCAATTATGAAACTTAGTTTTGCAGGATACAAAATTCTAGACTGGCAGTTGTTTTGTTTAACAAGATTGAAAATGGGGTCCCACTACCTTCTGGCTTGTAAGGTTCCCACTGAGGAAGCTGCCGTTGTCCTGATGGGTTTTCCCTTGTAGGTCAGTTACTGCTTACATCTAGCTGCTTATAGGATTCCTTTTTTCATTCTGACTTTGGCCAGGTTGATTACTATGTGTCTTGAAGATGTCCTATTTGCTATGAATCTTCCTGGTGTTAGATGACTGTCTTGTATCTGGATGCATGGAGCTCTAGAGATACCAGGAAAGTTTTCCTCAATAATTCCCTCCAACTGATTTTCCATGTTTTTAGCTCTTCCTTATTCTCCCTCAGGGATACCTATAATTTGCTTGTTAGTTTGCTTCACATTGTCCCGTGTCCCTCTAAGTGATTGCTCTTCCTTTTTGTTCTCCTAGAGAACAAAATGACTGGGTTTGCTTGAGAGCCCTTACAGCTGAATCTTTCTGCTATGCTTTCAAATTCCTTAAATAACCCTTTCATTTCTTTAAGTTCCATTGTATCCTTCCTATGTTGTCTAGTTCTTCAGTGGCTTTTACACTAATTTCCTGAAATGTATTTAGGCTTCTTTTTGTTGATTTTCAACTTTCTCTTCAATTCCATTCATTTTATTTGCCATCCATGTTATGAATTCCATTTCTGTAATTTCAATAATTTCTTTGTAATTGGAGTTCACTACTGTAGCTCCGTTGTGATCCCTTGGTGGTCAATCTATTTTGATTTTTGATTTTGCCAGCATTCTTTTGCTGGCTTTTTCTTAACTGAAACCTATTTTCTCGACTGAGGGCTAATAGGTTTTCAGGGCACCTGTTCTTTGCTGGAAACTCTCCTGCTTAATTATTAAAAAGGAAGGTCACTAGATGGTGCTTTTTTTCCCCAACTCTGGAATGTTGATGTAGGAGAGGAAGATCATGTGCACTAGAAACATATAGTGCAGCTCTTCTGATTTGTTCTGTTTGCCTGTGATTGCCTCTGCCCAAGCCTGTGCTGAATGCTGCTTGTGTTGGGTGTTGGATTGTTCACAAAATCATTATAGGATGTTCGAGTTGGGAACTGGGCGAGACTCTCTTCACTGAGGCTGCTGTTGTGGGGATTACTCTACCTGGGGTCTCCCCAGGGAAGTGACAGTAGCACTGGATGAGGTTATCTAGGCAGTAGTCACGGGTTCCCAGGCTGTGGGTGTTTGCTCAAACAGTTCCCAGTGTACTGGTGGATCAAGGCTGGGCGATCTCTGGTAGGGCACTGGAATTTGGAGCAGTTCCTCCAGCCCTGCAGCAGTAATGGAGGCTCCAGGGTGGGATGTTGGGTCCAAAAGCAGCACTGGAGTCTTGGGGATGGTGTCTTGGCCTGGCGGGAGCTCTGGAAGCACATAGGTGGAGCCTTGCACTTCAGTGTGAGAGCCTCAGAGCCAGGACTGGGGAGGAGCCTGAAGCAGGGCTTTTGAGCAGGGACTCTGAGCCAGGAGCAGGGCTGTGAGAGCAGCAGAGATGATCTAACATGGAGGGTTCAGGGCCAAACAGGCAGGAGGCATTTGGGGCCCGGAGGTCAGGGTCAAATAAGTGGCAAACTGTTTCACAGTCTTGGGGACTGCACAGATGCCAAGTCACATGGGTGGAGGTTGGTTCTAGTGGGTCGGGGACTACAGAGTTCTCCCCCCTACCACCCCCGAACCCACCAAAAAAGTAGTGGCCCAAAGCCTCCCAGGTTGGAGACTACAATGTCCCAGTCAGTTCCTGTGCTCAGATCCCATTGTGATGTACAGGAAGGGTGCTTGGCTTCCAGTCACAAGGTACAGCTCAAGGGAGCCTCCAGTTACTCCACTCCCTCCCCAGCCTGGTGCTGACCTGTCGCCATGCACCTGACAGCTCAGATGGCTTTAGCCGCTACCTGGCCCCACCACGCCTGTGGTCTGGTGCAATGACTCCACACAGACTCCTGGCAGGTCCCCGGTATGATCAGGCAGAGGTCTGAGGCAGTGGAGGCAGCCTTCTCACAACTCACCCCGTGCCAGCAGGGTGAGCATGGTGCCCAGCACTCTATCCGCCTGCTCTTCTCTGCACATGCTTTGATCTAGTTAAATATATCACCCGTCACCTTTTTTCTTTTCATACACTGAGTGTCCAGTGTTGCTTCTCTGTGATTTCATAATGTTCCCTCAGAGAAGAGCAATCCGTACATAGGCCGCTGCTGGCAATTTTCACTCTTTCCTTGGGAGAGGTGTGTTGGCGGCTGCTTCTAGTCTGCCATTTTTCCCCAAGAGCCCATTAATACTTCAACTATTAGCAGTAATTTTTCTCATTCTCTTTCTAAGCAATATTCCAGTTTTCTCTACCTTTATCTTAATAGCTACAAAGAAGGGAGAAGTTAATATAGAAAGAATATAAGTAAAGGAGAAAGAGCACAGGCTTTAGAACTCGCTCAATGTGGGTTCAAATCCTGGATCTACAACTAACTAGTTAAGTTTACCTCAAACAAGTCAAATGGCCTCTCTCAGCTTCATCATCTACAACACGGGCTTCAATGTTAGTGGTATAGACTGGGCATTCAATAAATTATTTTTTAAATTATTTTCAAAGAAACATATACTTGTTATAAAATTACTACTAAGAATGTTTATTTTTCAATAAAATTATCTGTTCACATATAAACATGTATGTGTACATACAGAGTTTTGTGGGGGTTTTGTTATTAAAGTGACTAAATCTCTTTTGTAAGCAGCCTAAAGAAAAGATTAAACTATTTCCACAAAGTATGGGAGAAAAATCCCCATTGTAATGCTAAGACAATTGTCAATTTAAGGAATTATTTTCTTTATCCCAGTAGAAGTGGCAAAAATATAAATTACCTCAAAGAGCCCTCAAATAATCCAATTTGCATTACAAATAGCAGTTTATAGCATCTATATACACAAACCAAATATCATCCTTTTTCTGAACATTTATTATGTTCTACAGCTGGGGAAAATAGCAACAGTGACAATATTAAATTTGAAGAATAAACCTCAGTGTGAAACTGGACCATTAAATATAAAATAAGTACAACAATGGAAGAACAGCATACTAAAAACTGAAAAGCTACTTGAGATAAAAATATAGCTAGATATAATGAAAATGTAAGTATTACATTAATAAAGAATCTGAGTTTGAGGGACTGAATATTTAAAAATTTTGGCCTAAGTCTGCTTTTCTTTTTGTAGAGTTAATGTTTCAACCACAGAATAAGAGAACCTAAAACAATTTACATTAGTGTGAAAATATAGCTGCGGGAGAGAAACTACAACATCATAAATCACAACCCTCTCTCTGAGAAGAAAAAAAAATGTTTATAAAAGCCCTGCTGTTAGGGCCAGGTACAGTCCAAATTTATTTCTAAAATCCCAGTCTTACATAACTGAAGTATATTTCAATGGAGCTGAACATCAAGTTACATAATTATCAAACTACTGCATTCTATTTTGATTTTTTTCAGCACAAAACATGACAGGCCTGGGAAGTCAGCAAGAAAGGAAAAGAAATTTAAAGCTTAAAGCAATACATTTTGCTTAAAATATAAAACAATTTTTATTTTTTTAAAAATTTAGGTAGTAGATCACAAATTTTCAATACTGTATCTCAATATTGTCATTTTTCAAGGTATTTTTAGTTGTTTTCATTATTTAAAAACAAACTAACCAAAAACAACAACAAAAAAAGCTTACTCAACAAATACTTAAGGTGCTTTAAAAGGTAATTAGAAGAGCATTATCTAATTTATATGCTTCCTTTCCACTGAGAATGGCACAAATACTGTTGGATATTCAACTACATTTTATAGAAAATTTAGCTTGTATAGCAATAATCACAAATCTGTGGACTATATATTCCATGGAAGTAGCATCTTCATTTCTTGATTTAAATTTAAAGCATCAGAAAATTAGTTGAATTCCAAAAGTCTATTTATTTAAAACCTACTGATGTATTAATAACCATAATGAAGGATATTCATTTTAGAGCAAATATACAATCTGCTTGAAAACATAATTTTAATAGAAGAGTACAAACACAATCATTAAAAGATCAAACCAATCTGGGAAAAGCTTAAGCACAGAATTATAAATAAACTAAGTAGCATCTCTTTATTTTCTTGTTCACAGAGAAAGTTTACGGATCAGAAGTTATTTCATTAAAGCTTTTGTAGAAGGCAACTAAATGAGAAAATAAGGGCTTCAGACTTTTTCGATGTATATATTTGAAAATGTGAGGTGACACTGATAAAGTCTACAAAAGAATAGTATGGAACACACTAAATAAATGTTAGATACTATTACTATATATTTAAATTATTAAACCTAAAATGACTAAAGCAATCTAATAATAATTCACTTAAAAGTTGTTCATTGTGAACTAAAACTGTAAGAGAGATAATTACCATGATTCAAAGAGGTTGTGCCATCCCTGGGCTGCTTTTCTTCTTCAGCTTGCTCCTAAAATATAGAAAATAGGGACCATAGTTCCGGATTATTTTTTGAAAGGCTGAAAACTAACATTTCTGTTCACAGGAAGCAAAGCCATGAAGATCTTGTAACTGAGGGGGCAATACACAGTACCAGCATCTTTCCGGTGGGCACCCAGGAGGGGCACATCATGAACCATTCAGACATGGCAGGAATTTTTTATTACTGTCTGTATTGTTCATTGTCTAAAATACAAGAGAGAGGAAGCTTCAATAACAGTTAATACTGAAGTTGACACAGGTGTCCACCATAACCGGATGACTGGATCCCTGGGTCTGACAGTCCCATAGAACGTGGCTAACAGAAGATGCTCATTCCCCACCAAAGCCATGCCCTCTATCCTACTTTCCCTTTCAGCCTATCAGGGTCTACTACAGTTTACATGGGCTCAGTTAAAATGAGATTATCTAATTTTAACCAAACTGACCTTTAGAGAATGGACAAGTAACTTCGAAGATTCCTGTAAAGAAACCAGATTGCATATGACAAACAATACAAGCACATACAACAGACGATATGACAAAGCTTCTTCCCATGGTGCAAATAATGAATCAGGCACACCTTCCTGCTACTCTCAAAGTGAAGTTTACCATTCAACAAATACTAAGAAGGTAGCTTCCTTTCTTGAAAGTTGTGGTAGCAAAGACCATTTTGAAAATGGGTATCCAGATATGTCTCATTTACATAATTCTGTGACCATAAACAATGTATGCTACCTATTAAAAACTCATAATAATGATAGACTTAAAAATTAGGGAACAGCATTTCCCAAATTTAAAATCTTCCAAATGAAGGCTTTCAGTGGATTTGAACTTGCTTTTGGAAATATACATGTGCAATACTTTTGACTAGTTTCTAAGAACAACTAATTGTCATCACATAATATGAAAATTTAGCAGCTTAATTATACAAAAACTTTTGCATAATTGGTAGCATGAGGAAAAATGACAATTACGATTTAGTAATTTAGCCAACAATTATTTTTTTCAATTTATTGCTATATATGTATACTTGAGATATACCTTTTTAAGTTACGACTAATGAGACTGTCCCAGTATGCAGGGGGCTAACCTTGTCACACCACCAAAAAGCCCCACATCTAGGGAAACCCTTAGTCCTAGACAGGCAAAGATGCTTGGTTACCCTAGCTATGACGACCATTAAAACCAAACCTAAAACACAGACTGCAGATAGTGGCATCACAAAGCTTTAAACCTAGTATTCAGAGGAGAATCATGCATACTAATATTTCAGTGAAAACAAATTAGTTTTAACTATTAAAATAAATATTATTAATTTCATTTTTATATTTTTTAGTTTCTTTTTTAGTCTATGACATTAAGGTACAAAATGTACTTTGTATAGTAATAAATCATATCATTTTCAAATAGACAATCCACATATAGCTGGATACATGATTAAAGTTTCTTTACTAATGAGGTAACCAAACAAATGAGATTGAAGATGACTGCATCAGACTACCAACCGCTTATACAATCATATATAACTGATTGCGGTAAATTCCTTGGGATGTCTTAGCTCAGTATCTTTCTATATACATAATTTATTTCATTTTTTATTAACTTATTTTATTTTGTGAATTCATGATTCAAGATACATACCATATATACATAAAGACAGAATGAATATACACACACACACAGATAATACAGTGCAAATTTTCCTACCTGTCCTCCCTATGCCAATTCATAGTATCTCTATCCAATAATCACTGATGCATTTCTAATATATCCTTGCAAAGTTTCCTTTAGAAAATTACAGACAGAAACATGATTATATATGCTTAGTTACTATACACAAAATCTAGCATGATTTTCTATTAATACTTATCATTTTACTGAACAAAATCTCTCAGAGATCTTTCTATGCCATGTTACAGAGTGTCCTTATTCTTTTTTCATAGCTGCACAGGAACATAAGGGCTATGTCATGATTTATTTAACTGGTTCCTTATTTACGGATGTTTAGGTTACTTCTGGTAGTTTTTATCAATCATATTAATACAGTAAGAAACTTGCACATGTGTCAATCTGCACACATGGAGGATATCTGCAGATCAACTTCTTGCCAATCAAAGCAGCTACGAGCCCTGGAGCTGCTCCAGGTCACAGGCCACAGGCCTGTTCTGTGCCTGTTTTCCCTTGGCCTAGTCAACAGGGTGTGTTACCAGATTTTTGAATTTTTGACAAGAGGATGAGGAAACAGTGATCACTCACTATAGTTTTAATTTGCACTTGCTTCATTATGAAGTTGAAGATGATGCTGTATATTTAAAAGTCATTCGTATTTCCTTTCCTGTGAAATGTCTTGTTACATCCTTGGTCCCTTTTTCTGTTGGACAATTACTTACATTTTGGTCTTGATAAATTAGGAAGATTAGTCTTTGTCTATGATAAGAGAAATTATTTACTTTTTCTCAATTTGTCATTTCTCTTTTCACTTTGCTTATGATTTTCTTAATATGCAGAGTTTTTGTTTGTTTTAAGAAATGAAACTATTAAACTTTTCTTTTATAGATTCTAGATTTGAATAATAGTTTGAAAATCCTTCTCCAATCCAGATTATAAAAACCCCATTGTTTATGACCATAATACTTATGGTTCATTTCTTAGCTTCATTTCTTAGGTTTAAATCTTTGATGAATCTGAAATTTGTACCGGGACGTAGTGTGACACAAAGACACGGTATGTTTGCCCAGGTGGCTGTTTACTTGTCCCAACACCACTTACTGAAGAGTCCTCCGTCTCCCTGCCAGTCCAGGATGTGTGGATGATGTACTAAACTCCTATGTGCATTTGATCCTATTTCTGCCTTTCTATTCTGTTTCTTTCTATCCATCTATCCATGTGCCAATACCACAGTTTCCATTATTACAGCCATGCTTTAATATGCTTCTGGGCTATTTAGTACTTTATACACAATAAAACAGTTCTGTTTCTGTACAAGTTTTAGAGTCAAATGGCTGTAGGTCCCAATCCCAGGTCTACCTTTTACTAGCTGTGTGATGCTGGATGTGTGATTTAACCTCTGTGAATCTCTTTGACTTGGAGATAATCACAACTTCTTGACAAGATTGTTTTAAGCATTAGAGATCCATGGATAGAGTCCTTATTACAGCATATACCACACAGCAGACTCTCAATTAATGGTAGCTATCACAGTTATTTTGCCAGATTTCAAATTGCTAGGAATTTATCCTGATACTTAATCAAAATTAAGTTGACCTGCTTATTTGTGTTCATCAACTGAAGAAGCATATGAACAAAATCTCTAATGAAAAAAGAATTCTGAGGGGAAAGGAAAGAAGAATCCTAAAGCCCTAATTGAATCAATTGCTCATTTAAAAAACATCTATTGAGCAATTACTACGTGCCAGGAACTACGCTGGGGTTAAGAGTGCAAATAAAACACAATGTCTAATGTTTGTGCACTGACCACCCTTAGCTTGACAGGTGCTCACTGTCTGTTGCACAGCTGACGACAGAAAGAAGAGATGGGCCTACTTGGCTCCCCCTCCTCCTGGAATGTCCTCATTTGTCAACTGTGATCTGCTGCATGCTCCTGTTCTTTCTGCCCAGGCCTGGGCTCTCCTGCGGGTTCACTGCTTATGCCTCTCCTGTGCACAGCCATCACCACTGCTGTCCCTGAAGTCCCTGGTCCTCCCTGTCTGTCGCACTCTGACCACTCTGCACAGCCAGTCCACTCTCAGTCTCAGACACACGGCCGATGGATCTCTCTATCTCCTTCCATCAAGTTTCAAATGTGCAGACCCAAGGTCCCACTGCACGGCTTCATCTGGATGACCCATAAGTTCCTAGCATGTAATCATTACAAAAGCAAATCCATCATTTTGTCCTCTAAACTTCTTATCCCCAGCTCAAAAGTCCCCTGGACTCAAGATGCAGCTTCCTGAACCCAAACCTCAGTTGCTGCTTTCCCCTCACCTCTCTGACATTAGTGCTGGGCAGAGTTCCAAGATGACCCCAATGAGTCCCACCCTTATCTAATCCCCTGCCCCAAGTGGGGTACAACCTGTGACTTAGTCTGGATCATATGGCAATGGTGATAGGACCCTCGCTCTCCTGACTCCATTATAATACATAACTCTGTCCCAGTGGATGGGAGCAAGAGATTCTCCTGCTGGCCTTGAGGAGTGAGCCACCAGGCTGTTAGAGGGTCTAGGAGAGGACTATGTGGCGGAAACTGCCCTTGCTTGACATCCAGTGAGAAGCAGAGACCTCAGTCCTACAGCCACAAGGAACTGAATCTGCCAACAACCACATGAGCTCAGAAGAGGCCACTGAGCTCCACCAGGCCAACTACCCTGAGACCCTAAGCAGAGAATCCATGTAAGTCATGCCTGAACTTCTCAGAAAGAAACAACGGTGATATAGCACCGCCTGTATTTTCCTGGATAGAGCTGGAACCCATTTTACTAAGTGAAGTATCCCAAGAATGGAAAAACCAGCACCACATGTACTCACCAGCAAATGGGTTTCACTGATCAACACCGAAGTGGACGTATAGGAATAACATTTACCGGCATCAGGCAGATGGGAGGGGGGAGGAGGGGATGGGTAAAGGGGAAGGAGGGGAAAGGCAACACACATAACCTAAACATTTATACCCCCATAATATGCTGAAATAAAAAAAATAATTAAAAAATATATAAAGAAATTTAAAAAATAATAAAAATAATAAATGGGTATTTTAAGCTGCTGTCTTTGTGGTAATTTGTTATGCAACAATAGAAAACCAATGCTCACCTTCTTATCCTTTAGGAGTCAACTTGGGAAGCTTTCCATGATCCTCCTTCCTCTTCCCCTCCACGCATGCTAAGTAGAGCAACCTTTGATGCCTGCAAATTTCCTGTACAAATCTGTGTTATTGGGCCTATCGTGCTGCAATATAATCATCTGTTTTACTGATTGGGCTCTCCTGCTGTCCTCCTTCTTACTGAAGGCAGACAGTGCCTTAACCATCTTTCATCCCCAAAACATAGCTAGACACCTAGTCTAACTCAATAAATACTTGCTAAATGAAGGCAAGGTTTAAGAATAATACTTTTCTGCTTTTCAGATTTCACATCCAAAGTGATAGTGGATATCTTTGTGCAATTAATAAAGTCGCATCCTCATAAAAATATTACATTCAATGCCTCTCACATATTAACAGGCATATGATTCACCTGGGAATCCCGCTAAAAAATGTAGATCTTGATTCAATTGGTCTGGGGTAGGGCCTAAGATTATGAATTTCCAAGAGCTTCCCAGCAGACGTTATTGCAAAAATATACGGTATACACAATGAGTGGCAAGACTACTGTCTCTTATCAGGGCATGGAGTGAGAGTGGGGATGGTAGTAATCCAATCATATCTGCCCCTATTCTACTCCAAGTGAGATGATGAACTCCCAAATAGGGTCTAATTTTCTATGGT